GATACGTAATTCCTGGCCTGTTTGAGATTGAAAATATTAAATACCAGCAGAGAGAATTGGGATTCTGCTCTTTGAATCCGACAGGAGGGCTGGGATGCTACATTTATCATGATGAGAGGGTCACAAAGTTGCTTCTTAAATGCCTCAGACATTTAAAGGTTGACCTGTGTAGGCTGTAGTACAGAGAGGAGACATACACACACACACAAACACACACACACACACACACACACACACACGCACATACACACAGATAAGCTGTCACCTGTGTGTGATTTCTGCTGTACTAGTGCAACTGTCAACCAGAAATGGGGCATGGGACTGAGAAGAAAATCTTTCTCCTTTTCTGACATCTGACTTCTGCAGTTCTTCCTCCTCCATCAATACTCTCTGTTCTCACATCTTTCTGACTTATTGTCACAAAGATAAACACATTGCTTGTAACAGATGTTAAAAGGGTAACATTCATATTTTTGCTGCAAATGGAACAGGTACGCATATTCACACATAGTTACACACAAATTGAAATGGGTGCGCACACACACACACACACACACACACACACACACACAAATGGCCTGTGGGCAGGAAGCAGCAGCAGGAGGGGAGGAAGTGAATTTGGAAGCTGAACCAGATGCTGCAGAGCTCTGCTTTGGAAACATCTCTGGTCACCAAATACTAAATCATTCTCCCTCTTTCTCCTCTCTCTCTTTTTCTCTTCTTTATGACATTATTTATTTCATCTGTCTGTCGGTCTATTTCTAGCAGAGAGAATGAAATATGTGATGAGGGCGAAAACACATTTATCAGTTATGTCATCTCAGGAAGTGGAGAAAATGTATCCTCTGCTTTGCTTCTCTGTTGGTAAACAAGCCTAATAGGGTTTATGTTGCATGTAGATTTATAGTTTCTGTTAGACAAAGAAAAATTTGGTAAATGCAGTTCTATGAGATCTTCTATAGAGGCTGTGTCAGAGTTTAGGCTGAAACAAACACCAATCAACTGTTGCAGGAAGGTGTGCTGACCCAGAGTTAGGAAGGGAAGTCACAGTTCTACATGGAGAAAAACAGGAACTCCTCATTTTCAAATCATGTTTACTCAGTTTGTTTCTGCTGAAATTGGTTGCTACTGTCAGTATACATAAAAATAGTGATAAGGTACAAAAACATGTGCGTAATATTGGGTAAAGTCGTGGCAAGGTGGTGTGGTATGGTGTCAAACACAAAGTCACACATTCAAATCATGTAATTTCCTGTCAGTTAGGGTTTGCTGGAAATTTTGACTTCTTTGGTTCTTGGATGAAACTTAACCATTTCTTCAAGGAAAATGACCAAGAGTCTGCAGCCACGCTAGCGACGCCCTGTGAGTCTGTACTTAGGCTGAGTGCAACTTATGCATCATCATTGTTTCAGTATCATGTGTGACATTAGCCAAACTATATCTCATGTATTTTATATTGCTACTTAAATGATTTGTCAATTAGTTTAGCAATAATAAATTAAGTGTTTAAAGGAATAGTTTATTTGGGGAAATATTCCTATTTGCTTTCTTGCCGAGTGTTAGATGAAAAGCTATTTATCACTTTCATGTCTGTATGCCAAATATGAACTACA